TGACAATACGATTAGGACATATTGTCCCAGAAGATTTCCAGGAAACAGGAATAGTTAAAAACTTTAAACTCACGTTACACTTCTTTTAGTGTGTCAACATTAAATTAAGCTACTTTTCATAGTTAAATTTTAATCATGCAAAAGTCAGGTCGAAAGCGTTAATGTAGGTTTTACTGTATCTAATTTAGCCTGTCTTGAAAACATTTCAATATGCATGTCATATATACACCGAAGGGTCATTACATTATGACAGCCCTGTTAATAATATGTAGGACCACCTTTAGCTTTTAAAACTTCCAGTACTCGGCATGGCATTAACTCCATAAGCTGCTGATAGGTAGTCTGAGGTATCTGGTACCAAGGGCTCACCAACAGGTCCTGCAATTCCTGCACATTGCAAGGGGGTAGCATGGCAGCATGAATTTGGTTTTCCAGATGGGACCACAAATGCTCTATTGAATTCATGTCAGGAGAATTTAGAACTCAAGACGTGACTTAAGAGTTGCTAAAATGTTCCTCAAACCACTCCTTGATGATTCGATCCTTATAAGATAGTGCATTATCCTGTTGGTAAACACAATCCCCTGTATCAATAATAATTGGAAATAATGTTTTCATGAATGGGTGAATCTGGTCTGCAACGATATTCAGGTAGCACACAGATATCTGGGATTGTTTTATGGTGATTGTGGATCCTAATGTGCTCTATGAAACCATTGCTCACACCATAATACCCCTCACACAGGCTTCTCTCCATCCAAAGGCCAGGGTTTCATTTGGAAATTGGCATATTAGCACGTGAAACAGGAAATGTGATTCGTTGGACCATGAAACTTCCATTCTCCTAATGTCCAGTTCATATGTTTGTTGGCCCATTGCAGACTTAGCCGGTGATGACATGCCATCAGTTGCAGGGACATGCTTCGGCCTCCACAGTGTAGGTCCATACGCAGCAATGTATGCTGCACAGTGTGTTGAGAAACACTGTTTGGGTTGTCACTGCTGTAGCTGATAGTGATTTCGGCTGTTGTAGCTGTTTGGTCACGGTAAACAATGCGTAGCAGGCTCCACTCTGTTGTGGAATCAATGTGCCATTGACGACACACTGCTGGCCGGTGACTTGTTTCACCATGATAAATCGGTTGCTTTTCCCATTATGTTGCTAAATGCACTATGTTTGGAAAGACAATGCATAGCCGCTTTATATACTCCAATATCAACCACGCATGTGCAGTGGTTTTGTTCCTGGGTGAGCCCATTTTTATAGATGGTGGGTGGTCATAATGTAATAGCTCTTTGGTATATATGTATTGCATGTATTTTCTTCTAAGTATAGTGTGTGAATCATTAAATGTAAGTATTATTTATTAGAAAAATTTTCTCTTTTGTCGTCATTTGAAAGATAAAGTTTATAGAAATTACCTTGTTAGTTCGACTCACTGCAAATCGAACTGATTGCACATTTTTTATCAGTGAAAATTTGAAAATGCTTTGCTTCCATCATATATTTAAACTGTTTAACAGAGAAACATATTGAGAGCAACTCATGATCATAAGTACTGTATTTTCTGAGCCCCATTTAGTTTCTTTGAATAAAATTCAACTGGTTTCCAGTTACCATCTTCATACTGCCGTAAAACTAACCCAATTGCCCAATCTGAGGCATTGGTGCACTGAGATAATGGACATTCAGGCTTTGAGTAACTTAAAAGGGCAGTATTAGCCAAGTCTGTCTTGCATTTCTCAAATTGCTTTATGCTTTCTTTGGTCCAAGGTACTTTACTTTTATCTTTTTTTCTTTGCTCCATTAAGCATTTCATGTAGTATGGCCTGAGTTTGAGCAGCATCTTTCAGGTATCTCCTATAAAAATTTACCATACCTAAAAACGTTCTTAAGCCATGCAGAGTGAATGGTAGTTCATAATCAAGAATAGCTTTGACTTTATCAGGCAAGGGTTGTGAACCAGTGGTGTACTGAGGTAGCCCCAAAATTCAATTCCTTTGACTAATACAGATTTCTAAATACAAATTTTGATACATTTATGCACAGGCCATATTTATCAAGCCTGTCAAAAACTAATTTCAGATGTGTTTTATGCTCATCTTCAGATCATGAAGCAATCAAAATATCATCCAGGTAAGGAAAACAGAAATCTAGCCCTCGGAACACTTCATGCACAAATCTTTGAAAGATAGAAGGGGCATTCCGCAAACCAAAACTCATGACGTTAAATTCATACAATCCAAATAGTGTTATGATGGCTGTTTTTGGTTTGTCATCCTCAGCTATGGATATTTGATGATAGTATGCCTTGAATAGGTCTAATTTAGAGAAAATTAAAGATTAAATGAAAGTCCTCAATCCTAGGAATTGGGTATCTGTGTGGAATGGTCTGCTCGTTCAGATGTCTATAATCAGCACAAGGTCTTAAAGTTCCGTCTTTTTTTGTAACTAAATGTAGAAGACTAGCCCACTGTGATTTAGATGGCCTGATTATGCCACTGTCTAACATAAACTGAAATTCTTGCTTGGCCAGATTCAGTTTCTTGGCATCAAGTTGCTGAGCATGAAAGTAAACCAAACCGGTTGTCCTTTTGTAGCAATATAGTGCTGGACCTTATGCTTCACTTTGGTATTCAATAAATTGGGCTTTGTAATACCAGGATACTTTTGCAACAACTCAGAAAATTTTAAAGAATTGCACACTGTACTAATCGCAATATCTTTCAATACTGACATTGCATCACTGTATACATACATATTTGTGACACCATCAATTAATTTCTTCTGGCGAATGTCAAGCAATAAATGAAACTGATTCAGAAAGTCAGCACCTAAAATGCCTCTATTTACCTTTGCTACCTTTGCTACAATGAATGGCCATTGGAATGGGCGACGCAGTCCGAGGACCACACGGTCAACACCTTTACTACGTCCAAATGTTGGGATTTCAGTTCCATTAGCTGCATATAGCTTATATAAGGTGCAGGTGCTTTTAGATTTAGTGTCAGCTGGAATCAAGCTGATATCTGCTCCACTATCAATAAGAAATTTTATTCCTGTTTTCCTGTCTTTGGCAAAAAGGCAAAATTTGCGGCAATTCATGTTTTCAGTAGCAGCAGGGCTTGCCGCTGATTCTACTGCTAATTTGAGTTTTCCGGTTGCTTCCAACTGCAGGAAGGTTTACATTTATCCGGGTTGCGTTTTTCCCATATTTGAAATGAAAAAAACAATATTTTCCATTAGGGTCAAAATGCTTGTGGGATTTGCTGCGACTTCTATTTCTTTGATGGCTTGGACTTCGTCTTCTGCCTCTCGTATGTTCAACACTCAGAGTTGCAATCCGTTGCTCAAGTGAAGAAATTTTTTTCAACAACATATCACATGGGCCAGTTTCTTGGGCAACACTAGCAAGCTATATTCAGGGATTCATCTCCAGAATTTTATCGGCCATGGTGGCCAGCTTGTCAGTGCATTCTTCACTAACAATCAAGATGTTTTTTACTTGATCCAGTAGTTTCTCCATCCATGAAGTCCTCAGAACTTTATCAGACACCTCATCATCATCTCCAAGGGTCCCCATTTTCTGGAGCAGTTGGTTGGGCTTCAAATCTCCTAATTCAAGTCCAGTTAACAATCGCTTGATACGTTTATTCTCACTTTCTTTGAAAGTGCTAAGAAGTCGGTCTTTAGCCGCTGAAGCTGTCACGCCGTCTGGCGTGTCATTTTTAATGATGTCCCAAATATTTTCTATCAATTTGGGTTCAAGTTGTGCAACCAGGTAGTTAAATCTTGTTTCTTCAGAAGTAATTCCACTGATTTTAAATTGTGCTTTGACGGGAAAAAAACCACATTTCGAGTTTTTCCACCCAAAATGGCGGTATCTTCACACTCATTTTACTAGCTTCAAGTTTTGAAGTAACTAGGGATTCACTGTCCACTGACATATTTGCAAATTTTAAGTCAAACTAAAACATGCAGAATACAAGATGAGTTACCAGATGTTAATTTGACTCACTGCAAATCAAACTGATTGCACATTTTTTATTCATAGTTAAGAAGAAAAAAAAGCACAACTTATACAGCATAAACTAAGCTACGTCATCTTACTCACATCAACAGTCAGCCACATGGTTATCTATATTGTGGTCAATGTTACAGTTACATATGAAAATTTAGAAGACACACAAACGATACAAAAGAAATCTGAAAATGAACACATTTGATCTAAAAAAATGAATATACACCATTATAGTTATTAGCTGTGAAAAAACAATTATTCCATTTTTCTTTCTTAATTTAAACTAATTTTCATCAATTCCTGATCTATCATCAGGCCATTGAAATACAACTTCCAAATCCAATATATTGACTGCTGCAGCCATCTAGTGGCATTTGCCCAAGTTAATATTTAAGTGCCAACAAACTACACAGTATTTTTTTATGCCTTTTTATTATCTGCGCCCCCATCAAAATATGTCAAAGTCAAAAGATGGTGACTTTAGAAAACATTCGCAAACTCATTGGTTACTAATTTTTCACTAAGCTAATACATGAAAGACTACAGCCATTTTCAAAATGGCCCTACACTAAGCATTTCATGCAAGAGTAATCAGTGAATAAATTTTTAAAAAAATTAAAAGAAGAAAGAAGAGAAAATGTTGGTAATAAAACACCTTATTCGTGAAATCCTTTTTTTCCTTTTTTTTCCCCCATTATTCTCCACATATATACAGCAATTTATTTTCTCCAAAAAGGCATCAAAAGAGAACTCTGCACTGGTGTAGCTTCGGCATTGCACACTGGCCAAAACAGGCATGCTACAGACATGCTTGGGTTACCACATAACTGTTTTGACGATATGCTGCTTTGTCACACGAATACCTTTTCATAGGCTTTTGGTGGAGGTGCAGATAATCAAAAAGTACTCTACTTTTTGCAATCTTGTGTATAGATTTTTTAATTATCTTTCTTTATTGGCTTTTCATATCATTTTTAGGCATTAGAGGAAGAAAAACGAGCCTATCAGAGGAGCTCAAGTAAAGCCATATACATGAATGTTGCATCAAATGCTCTCACACGACTTAGACACAAACCTGAAACAGTTAAAAAAGGTAATGGTGTGTCATCTACAACTAACAGAGTATCCCATCAGACAGTACTAAATGGACCTTTGGCTCAGCGCACCAGTTTTAGTATAGAACGCAAGAAAGCTCAGGTGATTCCTGAATTGAAAGGTTAGTAACATTTCTGTGTTTGAAGATTCAGTTATTTTCAGGTTTTTAACTATAGGGGCATTATTCTTCTCAATACGGCATGTAAAATATTCTTTAACATATTATATGCAAGTCAGCTACGCTTTGTTGATAAGGTAATTTGAAACTATCAATGTGGATTTATACCCCAAAGATCTGCTATTGAGCAAATTAATGCTTTAAGAGGAATCCATGAAAAAACTAAAGAATACAGTATTAAAACTTACCATCTGTTTATTGATTTCAAGGCAATGTACAACAGTATAAAGAGAGAAAAGTTGTTTGAAGCAGTGGCAGAGTTTGGAATCCCTATTATTAATTTAATTAATTTAATTAAAGCTACACTTGATAAAGTGAGATGTAGGATTAAAATTCAAAATAATTTATCTGAGTCTTTTGTAACAGAAAGAGGCCTTTGTCAAGGCGATTCCGTTGCTTGTCTGCTATTTAGTATAGCGTTAGAAAAGAGCATTAGAGACAGCAGTTTAGGTTGAAGGGGCACTATTTCAATAATATGGATATTATGAAATAATATGGATATTATTGAAAGGTCAGAAAACACAGTAACTAAGGCTTTTCCAGCTCTTGAGTCCACAAATATAGGCCTCATAGCCAACGAGGATAAAACTAAATTCATAGAAATTACACCCTCCTTAGTAAACTATTGTATTAATGGTTACATCTTTGAAAAGGCTGAGGAATTTAAATACCTTAGACATGTAATTAATGACAAAAATAAGAACAGAAATTAATAACACAATTAAACAACAGCTTATAGATTCTTCTTTGAGCTAAGAAGACAAGGTCTTATAAGGTGTAGAAGAAAATTACAAATATATGAGACACTAATACTACCTGTTTTACTTTAGACATATAGTACTTACTGGACATGTGCGAGAGAAAATTCTTCAGAGAAATTTTTGGCCCAGAGCAGGAAGAGAGGCATTGGAGAGCAAGGCATAACTTTGAACTGTATAGGCTGTACCAATAACACAAGCCATCTATAGTAATAGGTTAAGATTTCCGGCCATGTTTGAAGAAGACTGGAACATTGGACTCTGGAAGATCCCACTAAGATTTTGGCATTCAAGAAACCTAAGAGATCTCGAGCTAAAGGAAGACTAGTGACCGTATGGTTAGATGACACTGAAAAAGACATAAAAACTTTGAAAATTAAAATTTTGAGAGAGTCGCTGCAGATAGAAGAGACTGAAAGGAGTGCATTGTCAAGGCAGCCTGTGCTGTTGTGCTTGTGAAGAAGAAGAATCCATTCATGTTAGGGCTTACATTATTCAGAGTGGATCTTTGGCAAGCACTTTATCGACATTGGCTAACTGAATAATTTATTAAACATTGATAGTTTTTTTTTTTTTTTTTTTTTTTTTTTTTTTTTGTTTTTTTTTTTTTTTTTTTTTTTTTTTTTTTTTTTTTTTTTTTTTTTTTTTGTGTGTGTGTGTGTGTGTGTGTGTAATTTACAACGTGAAACAAACTGGCTGAATGGGTATTTTGGCTCTTATCACCCCAGTAATGTAAATCTGAATAAGTTTCTTGAGGAAAATTTTCCATGATGGCTTTCCTTCATAGACATAGACTCCTCACATACTGTATAATGAAAATAAAATTTAAAATTATTAATCAAACAGTATGATGTCTCTTAGCCTGTCCAGACTAATTAATAAATTGGTGATTATTTGAGAAAGAAGCCATTTCAGATGTTAGCTGTAGCAAAGTTAAAAATGGTATCTTAAAAGTAATAAATTTTTATGGGCAATGTATGATCACTTCAACTGATTGAAATCATATTTTGTGTACTTCATAATAATATAGTTAAAACTAATCTGTTTCATAATTCAGATCTTATTAAATATGCTGTTACTTGTGTATATTAATATTATGTTTGAGTATATCTGTAAATGATTATATTTATAAGCTATCTTCACATTTCCTAGAAATATAGCTTTTCAAATTGGCCAAGATAAAGCAAATTATTAAGATTAACTTAATAGTAATATTATAATAATAACCTAATGATATTAATAAAATTGTTTTTAAAATGTAAATATGTTTAATTTTTTTTTTTTTTTTTTTTTTTCCTTTTATATAGGTGCAACTCTGTATGAACATCTTTTACCTTTTGTCATGACTGAAGAGCAGCTAAAAGAAAATGGTTATCCCTTGCTTCATCCTACTGAGGCTGGTCGGGCAGTTATTGAAGGGATATATGCAAGTAGAACTCAGTATTGCAATGATCGTATGTTTTGATTTATTGATTAATAACTCTTGTATATACTAAAGTGATGTTCTAATTGTTAGTTTTCTTTTAGAAGTCTTTTTTTTTTTTTTTTTTTTTTTTTTTTTTTTTTTTTTTTTTTTTAATTTATGTAAAACTCCTAATATTTTTCTTCAACTATTCTCGTTTTTAATTGTTAAATATTTCCTCAATAGGATCAGCCATATGTAGTCAAATGCAGGGCATCTCAAAAAAATGTACTCACATTTAGAATGACAAGAAAAATTTTATTTCTGAACATAGAGTGAAATGGAAGGGCTTCGAATACAGAAGACTAATATAATAAAGGAATCATGTTCGTGAATATTCAAATTGATGACCATCATTGTCCAGAAAACGCTGATAACATGCACCAAGGGATTCGCAAGCATAACGAAACAGGTCATTAGGAATATTGTGACATTGTCTTTCAATTTCCAGTTTCAGTGCGTCAGTTTTTCTTGGTTTGGTGTGATAAACTTTGTCTTTGAGATATCCCTACAAAAAGAAGTCCATGGGCGTGAGGTCTGGGGAACGTGCAGGGTATTCAGTGGTACCCCTTCGTCCAATCCATCCATCTGAAAAAGCTGCATCGAGGAGAACTCATACATCGTGATGGTAGTGGGGAGGTGCTCCATCTTGCTGAAAGTAAATATGGTGGGTCATCATCTTTGGAATATGTGGACCGACAAACTCCTGAAGCAAGTTGAGGTAAGTCTCAACAATGACAATTTCATTAAACAAATGGTCCTATGATGCCCAATGCGAATATCCCAATCATACTATTACTCCTGGTAAGTTTATAAGGTATTTCTCCTGCCTTCCTAGTGTGCCTTCATGGTGTAGTGGTCAGCACACTGAGCCGGTATTTCAGAGGTCTGTAGTTTGATTCCCGGCGAAGGCGATTGCTAATTTTTTTTCTCTCTTGCTTTTTAAAAATTCAAATGTCTCTACATTGGCACCCGAACAAAAAGGGTGGTGGATAATGATTTCTCTCCACCCAGGATTTGGCAGTTGGGTCATCAAAAACCCCAGTCGCCCTTTAAAAGGGGGAGTATATAAGGTATTTCTCCCACCGTCTTGGCATGGCTTTGTGGTGATGTGGTTCTGCACACTGGGCCGCTATTCCAGAGGTCCGTGATTCAATTCCCGGTGAAGATGATTGCTCATTTTTCATGTCTTTTCCAAAAAATGTCCTGTCTCAACAGTGGCGCCGAACTAAAAAGGGTGTCGGATAATGATTCTCCTCACCCAGGATTTGGCAACTGGGTTCCCTAAAAACCCCAGTCACCCTTTAAAAAGGGGAGTATATAAGATATTTCTCCTGCCTTCCTAGCGTCCTTCATGGTGTAATGGTCAGCATACTGAGCCGGTATTTCAGAGGTCCGTGATCCGATTCCCGGCGAAGGCAATTGTTAATTTTTTCATCTTTCCTGTTTCCAAGAATATATACTTAATGTCTCTGCAAGTTTATATGGTGTTCACGTGTTATATGAGGATTTACAGTATGTGCAATTATATGTTCCATTTAATTTAAAGGATGCCTCATCGCTTCACACAATTTTTTGTGAAAACCCTGCATCTTCTGTGCATTTTGTCAGGTACCATTCAAAGAATTGAACTCTCCAGTCAAGATCATCTTCGTTGATAGCATGGATTAGTGTTGGAATGCAGCATTTCCATTGCAGACACTTCATAATGCGATAGACGCTATCTTTTGAGATGTGGGTTTCCTGAACAGTTTGTCGAAGAGATTTCTGTAGTGATCGAAGGAGTGTTTCCAGCACCTGCTCTTCTTTTCCAGGACTTGTGGATGTCCGTTGTCATCCAGAACGTTTCTTGTTCACGTTTGGGACAGTTCTATCTGCTTCAAATTTGTCTGTGATGTGAGCAATGGTCTAGCGCGTTGGTGGCAGTTTTGCGTATTCCCTTCTATATGGTTTTTGCACTTCAGTGGCGTTTTCAGTCTTCCAATAACATTTCAGGACAAACTTCCTATCTTCTAAGCTAAGTTGATTTCCTGCCATGCTGTGATAAATTAATTACATGAGTACATTTTTTGAGACACCCTGTATATATGACCTTAATTAATAAATTCGTTATTTATAGATCTGCAATCATTTTTTCAAAGGAAATTATTTAGGCAGTTGTAAGTAAATGATGCTAAAATTTATAATCACTTCTCTAAAGTAAACTGAGAATGAAATAATGTATATGTTACCAGCATGTATGAAACGACTGCATTCTATATACTTTACCTAGGCATTTTATAGAATGATAAAAGTGCTTTAGGCAAAGTATGAAAAAAAGGTCATGATAAGCAATTATTTAAAAGATGTTCATTCCTGTAAAATACAAATGCTGTTTTGAAAAAAGAATGAAAGACTGCCATTAAAAAACTTTTATTCTAAATATTTTAAAACAAAAACAAATAGTGAGATGATCTTGGTACACCATAATAAATTTGTTTTCTTTATCTGACTGGAAATCAATAAGATCTACCTTATGAAAAGAATTTTAAATTCAGAAAAAACGTAGGTTTCACAATGATGCCATTTTTAATACCTTTCTGTTTTTTCTGGCAGGGATGACAAAAGTGTTTTCAATATCATTCCATGTAACAGTTTTGTATTTGGTTGAAATTTCTTTCAACATTCAGTCATGTTTTCCATGTCCAATAGACAAATGAGTTTCATGAAGTGTGTGAAATAGCTCAGTGTCCGTGATGTAATACTGTATAGTACTAATGCTTTCTTTAACAGGATAAATAAGTTACTTTTATTTTCCTCAAACATCACATCGTAGCGATTTCAGCCACCAATAGTCCCATGGTTCCTTTTTAGCAGTCATTTTGGCTTTTTTACATAATTTATTAACTTCTGGTAAGTAGTTCTGGTTATTCGAAAAGAATGGCAGATGTATTTCATGCTATGCTGGTTTGTCATTTGGCATTCTATGCCTAGGCAAGGGGTGAAATGCCTAGGTAATGTGTGAAATGCCTAGGCAATGTGTGAAATGTTTAATCATTTCATACATTGACAGCCAAGTTTTAACATTCTTTAAATTGCCTAGGTATTCTATAGAATTTTCATATTTTGCCAGTAACATATATATATATCTACAGTGGTGACCAAAATTGTGGACACTTTTGGAAATTTTTCTGTTTTTGAACTTTGTATGCTTATAGAAAACGTTACGTTTCACAAAATGCAAACTCATATATATCATTTTAAAGAGAATTTATTACTGAATTCAATACAAAACACAAAATCCAATTATTTGCAATACAAAAAAAAGGGAAACGATAATAGTTATCGATATACATTAGATAGTGATGATTGCAGTGAGTTATCAGTACTTAGTAGGGTACCCTTTATTTTTGATTACAGCTTCACATCGACGTTTCATTGAGCTGAAAAGAGTTTTAAGCTCTTCTTTCGTCATTACATGATGCCAGGAAACAATTAAGCCTCAATTAGTTCCCTTTTATTTGGTGGGCGCCTCATTCGGACAAGAGTTTTCAAACGGTGCCACAAATTTTCGATAGGATTGAGGTCAGGACTGTTTCCTGGCAATGACAACAATTTAATGCTCTTTGTACGAAACCGCTCTTTCGATATTTTGTCCGTGTGGCAAGGAGCAGAATTCTGCTGAAAAATAAACGAAGCATTGTTGGGAAAGAGATCTCTGATGGAAGGTAGAAGTTTTAGTTCTAGAATAGTGTCAATGTATTTTCTGGCATTCGGTGTCCCATCGATGACATGAAGGCGACCAATACTATCTGCTGACATGCATGACCAAATCATAACACTAACTGGGTTTTTCACAGTTGCTTGAATGCAGTCAGGATGTAGCTCTTCTCCTATTCTATGTCTTACATATTTTCGCCCATCACTACCAAATAACGATATCTTAGTTTCATCACTTCATATAACTTGTGACCACTGATCATCTGTCCAATTAATGTGTTCCTTTGCCCTCTGTAGTCTTTTTTTTTTTTTCGTTGCTGAAAATTAAGATAAGGCTTTTTTCGTTGGATTCTACCTCTTAGTCCAACATCTGTTAATCTTCTCCTGATTGTTCTTGAACTGACAGAAACACCAGCATCATACAGATCACTTCTGATGGCCGCTGATGACATTTTTCTATCTTGGAGACATAGTCTTTTTATTCTTCTGTCATCAATAGATGTGGTGCACTTTTTTCGGCCTTTTCTTTCTTTGTTTTTTATTGAATTTGTCTCCTGATATTGTAAACAAAACTTTCGGACTCCAGATGTAGTCACTGAACCACTCACCTGTCTTGCAATTTCAGCATAGGAAAGACCACTTTCTCATAACACAATAATACTACATTTCTTTCTAGGTGTCCAATCTACTCTTTTATTTGATGTCATTGCTTCTTGACTAAATATTAAAAATTTTTACAAAAATCCCTACTTGTAATTGCAATGTATAAGAAACAGGTCGTCTTTCTACAGAATAAAGCAAACTAATGAATTGTTTCAAGTGTAAACATGATGTCAGCTTCTACTGGCAGTTACTAACATTTGATTGGTTCTCAGAACAGGAACAGTGATTGGCCAGGAAAGCTAGACGTTACAAACCACTTCATAACTGTGTTTTTTATTTATATTAAAATACATATAACTTTTTTTGTATTGCAAATAATTGAATTTTGTGTTTTGTATTGAATTCAGTAATAAATTGTCTTTAAAATGATATATACAAGTTTGTATTTTGCGAAACATAACATTTTCTATAAGCATACAATTAAGTTCAAAAACATAAAAATTTCCAAAAGTGTCCACAGTTTTGGCCACCACTGTATATAATTTAATTGCCAAAGCATTGTCATTGCTTATGTAATTTTTAGAGCATGTTATGTTTAGCAGTAATATGCTGGTGTTATCTTGTAACTCTTCTTTATGCTATTTTATTCCTGCACACAAATTTATCCATTATAATTTTTTTAAGGATTAATTGAAAAAAGGGAAATTAACTTTCTGTTACATAACCAGTGCTAGGAAATAGGAAGGTGAATGAATCTGTCTTTTATGAAATGCAGTTGAGAGATTAATATACACTCTTTCGTAAAAAAATCGAAGCACCAAGAAGGACTTTTGTGATCGTGACAAAATTTGATGAACAAAAACATCTTGATCGCACAGGCAAATGATAAAAGTTTCAAGGCAAGTGAACAAGAATTGCAATCATAGTGCATATTTCTAGTGCGCGATTCTTAAGGTATAAAACCAGTAACAGAGGTGGAAAATTTATCTTTTTTTGTTGTGAGCCATTGTAATTCCGTAAAGAAGCAACTAAAGATGCCATTACAACAATATCGAAGACCTCACAGACAACTAAATGACTTTGAATGCAGTCCATTGTAGGGGTGCATGAAGCTGGGTGGTCATACCGAGCAATAGGCTGCAGAAATTGTCGGCCAAGTGAAGGCTCTGGAAGACCAAAGGAGCACAAATGCGAGGCAAGATAGGATGGTTGTTTGCCAGGTCCGATCCGCCTCAAAGCTATCATTGTCGACTATTCAACGCACTACAGCTATGTCTATATCTCCCGTAGTACCGTCCACTATCTCACGGCACTTGTCTGGGGCAGGGTTACGCTCACAGAAGCTTTTTAAGACATTTGCCTTTGACCCCACAACATTGGCGGAGTCGTCTAGAGTGGTGTCGCAGCCGATCATCATGTCTGCCATCAGACTGGGATCATATAGTGTTCAGCGATTAATCCCGCTTCACTCTTCAAGCAGATGACCACCATGTTTGTGTCTGGAGAGGACCGGGCCAGCGGTCCCAATCAGCCTTTTTTTTACAAAGACATACAATCATAATCTCTGGTGTCATGGTGTGGTTCACTATTTCTTACGAGAGCAAGTCATCTTTAGTCGTCCTCCGTACATCTTTAACAGCTCAACGATATGTTGATACCATCCTGCGGCAGGTTTCATTACCCTTCATGGCATGTCATCCTGGGGCCATTTTCCAACAAGATAATGCCAGGCCACATACCGCTCGCATAGCTCCGGACTGTCTCAGTGTGGTTGATACTCTTCTTTGGCCAGCAAGGTCACCAGACCTTTCTGACAAGATTCGAAGCATGTCTGGGACATGGTAGGCCCCCAGCATTCGGGCACCATAAAATATCTGCAGATCTGGAGCGACGACTGTTGAATGTCCTCGCATGAATGTGTCGCAGGATGACATTAGGAACCTCTACCACTCCTTGCCTGGACGAATTCAAGCATGCATTGCCGCCAAAGGCGGTTCGACCAACTAACTAATTTGAACACTCAATAAGTGATTGTGAGCTGTGAACAGGTACTATGACCTTGATGTTTTAATCATTTTATTATCTGTGTATGAGCTATACATATAATCAATCTCATTAAAAACAAGCACTTCCTTCATGGTGCTTTGATTTTTTTTGAGAAAAGATAGTAGTGTATATGAAAGAAAGAGTGTATATGAAAAAAGATCTGAAAGCTTTCAGATTTAACATTATACCCAAAAGGATGTTTTTTAACCTTTTGTGTGTTACCTTTATTTATTAAATGTTATTTGCACTTAAACCATAAAATTCAATTTAACAACAATATCACAAAACAATTTTAAAATGAGCATATCTTTAGAATTTTCTATATACAGTCTCACGTGCTGGAGGTAAAAAAAAATTTTTTTTTTTCCCTTTACAGTTTCGCCTTTGCTAGTTTTGAAATCTTTGAGTTTGTTAATCAAAAATTCATTGAAGTGTTACAAGATATGAAATCGATAATAAAACAAATTTCATATTCCAAATTAGGTCATCCAGATGCCCATATTCGGTTAAGATTACGTTATTCAAAATTTGATGGCTCTAGGTACCATTGTTTAAAGAACGAAGGATGTGAGGAACCTATATACATTTATGCAGATTCTTTGTTATTTAATTTCTTTAAATATGACACAGAGAGATAATATTTGGTGTCAACAATTTGAAAAGTGAACCGACATTTAAAGTTTTGAACGAAAAATGCCAAAACGAAATTAAGAGCCCTTCTGGGCTAACAAATAATTAAATATATTAATATAATTTCTTATTCGCTTTTATATTAGATTTTTTATGTAAATTTATATAAGAAAACCACAAATTTTACTAAAAAGTATAACATTATAATATCTAAATAATCTCATCGGCAGATATTATCAAGATTCATTTTCTGATACATCAACAGCCAAATATTCCTTAAAAATAGTAAAATATATCTGATTCATGTCAGGGGAAAAAATAGCTAATTAGAACAGAATCAGTAAAAAAATACTTTCCTTGAGTCGCCCCCTTTATAGTTTTTTTCTGAATGTTAGCCAGTTTTTATTATAAACTTCTTCATGAAAACATCACTTTCCTAAGCTTTTGTATATATTGTTATAATTGATTAAATAATAAACAGTTTTTTTTTGGGGGGGGAGGTCAGGTAATTTTTTATGTTACTCTTTTAAAAATCTTTCAAAGAGCAGATTTCTTCAAAATAAAATAATATGCAGAAAAATCCTGTTGGACCTGAATTCTATAATTTCCACAGATTGTTGCTTAATCAAAGTAGACTCCACCTGCACAAAATCAGGCAATTGGAAGGTTAAATTCAATTTTCTGTGTTATTTAAGTGATGTGCAAACCAAGGTTTTCTGTATGCATTGCTTTTAAAGTGTGTGAGTTTGGATAAAATTGATGAGTCGGTATTAAGAGCTCTTTTTAGATAAACTGAAATAGTAAATATATCTTGGATAATACGTTTACTGCAGAGTTGATTTCTGTAATGACTTCACTGGGAAAGAATAAATTTTAGATGAAGCAGAGATGCCATTTATCAGATAATACTGATTTCTGTATTACTCCGAAAATTTCCTTAGAATTTAGAATAATAACAAAAAATAATTAATTAAAAAATTCATCAATATTATATATAATTGAAAAACCAGATCATAAGTAAATATCTGAGTACTCCTTCTGTAGTGTAAAATAAATTTTTCGATTTTAGTTTTGATATCTTATAACATTCATTGCATAAATACTTTTAGATCACTCAATAAATTTATTAAAATTTTCATTACATTTTTATGTTGCATTCCGTGTGTTTTATTTATATGCTAGTAATATATGACTAATAAATTTACAACTGATTAGCTTTCAAGAGAACATGCTGTCGCTGTCAAAAGACATACTACGTGAACGTAGATGGGGATTATGTACGAGATGAAGAATGTGATTTCCACTGGGGAAGATTGTGGAAAAGGAGAAGTGAGTGTTATTTTGTAAATATATAAAACTGAACTATTTAAAATTTTGTTATTTGTTGTGCTGAGATTGATTAGTTAAATATTTATTCAAGTACTCGAGCTTCTTTTCTAAATCAGTGCTAATCTGATCAGAGGATAAATCTCATCAGATTATCCTCTATCTCATCAGATGTACTTGTTTGTAATAAACCACTTTTCATTTGCACAAATTAATTAATCAATGCATTATGCTTATATTCTGTGCCCATTAAAGCCCTCCTTATCTGGTCATTATTTTCACAACTGTTGATTGTAGATATATACATCCATTACAAAAAAGGGTTAGAGTAGACTTTGGTTACCCCTTGTATTATGGCGAAGTTGTTGTTTTATTTATGGTAGCCTGAGTAGCTCAATGTTATCATTCTCTATCGTGACGTAATCTGTGCATGATTCTGGGAAATTTTGAATCATGGGATTTTTGTAAGTGCTTTTGTGGTGTGTGTTGGTTTTATTGTTTAGACAGTAGAATGGCTGAATGTAGTAAGATGAATTTGAAGTTTCTTTACAATTTGGAACAAAAGGGAAAAAGAGTGTTAATTGACTGGTGTGTAAATGAAGGTTTACGTAGTAGCTGTTATAAGTGTCCTGTATGTAGAAAGGATTTGTGTCTAGTCAAATTTAAAAGCCGTTTAGATGGATTTGAATGGGTTTGTAGGAAGAAAGGTTCAGATGTGGTGACGCCGAATTGTTCAGATAATTTATGAAGTTTTTGGATGCTGTTAAGGAATTATGTGTGCCACAGACTAAAAGAACTTCTGAATAGGGTAAGTAGATATCTGCTTTTTTAGTGCTTAAATGTATAACATGTTTTCCCTTTTTAATGTTATTCTATAGTTTAAAATGTAATTTATTGAGATTGTGTATTTTTTGTTTGCCTGTATTGTAGAAATGGGTGCTTATTTGACTTTTTAAGTGAAAATACACTGCTGGGCAGTGTAAATGCAACACCCTGAAGGAAGCATGCAAATAACATGGAATTTACAATATGCATTAGCGGAGGTGAGATATGCAAATGATTAGAATTTCAGCGCAGATGCACATCACGCATGACTGGTGCCACTCCAAAGCACTATTTAAAGGTTTGGGTTATTGACGATTTCAAGTTCCAAAATTGTGTTTTTCTTGTGGTTTTTTCAAAAAAAAAAAAAAAAAAAAAAAATCAATTATGCCTTGTAGTAAACAGTAATCATCGTTTGATCAAGTATCCGAGTGCGACAGAGGAAGGATAGTGGCATACTGAGAGTGTGGATTATCTTTCAGGGAAATCGGTAGTCGTGTTGGATGAAACCAAACAACTGTAATGCGGATAAGTGACCATTGGATGCAGAAAGGTACGACGGACCGACGTGTTTGATCGCATCCACTTCAGTGCACCACTTCATGTGATGACAGGAACATTGTGCACATGGCAGTGACGGATCACTCAGTCACATCACGAACAATAGCACAGCACATTCAGTCTGTAACACATCATCCAGTGTCTGCGCGTACCATTCATCGCCACTTACAACAGAGTGGTGAGTCCGCAAGACGTCCATTGCTTCGTCTACCCTTGACGCAGAACCACAGATGTCTCTGTCGCCAATGGTGTGATGAAAGAAGGGTGTGGACGGCAGAGTGGAATGAAATTGTCTTTACTGACGAGTCACGATTCTGTCTGCAACACCACAATGGTCGGATTTGAGTCTGGAGACACTGTGGAGAGAGGATGCTGAACAGCTGCGTTATACACCGCCACATTGGTCCTGCACTGGGTATTACGGTATGGGGTGGTATTGGATATCACTCTCGCACTCCTCTAATACGCATTGCCTGTACTATAAACAGCCAGCACTACATCTCCGAGGTGTTGGAGCCAGTTGTCCTTCCTTACCTTCAGGGCGTGCCCACAGCCATATTTCAACAGGATAATACGCAACCACACATGACACGCATTGTCCAAGGGTTCTTCGTCAATCGTCAGATTGAATTGCTTCCTTTATCAGGTTCAATGTTCCGTCTTACTTTCTTCGGAAACATGCAAGAACCTGACTCGGAACAGAGAGCTTACTAAAGCTATGTTCAATCACTGTGGGAAGTAGACAGGATACACAAGAAGGGTATACAAAACCCTTTATTTTTCTCTATTTACAATAACTTCCGTACTTCGGAATACAACAGACCCACTACTTGTGGTCTAAACGTAAAAAATAAAAAAATAAAACTAAACTCTAATTTAACTTTAAAATAATAAACGTGGAAGATTGGCCTTATATTAACAGGAAGCCGTATGTAGTACAGAGAAACTGTTGAACACTACAATACGTTTAAAAGTTATCAAGAGGATTAAACCTCTGGCCTGGAAGGCAACCAGCAACTGAGTAAAACTTCTAAGGTAAGCGGCCTGCTTCGACTAACTGCTTCCTCTCTCTCGCTTGGCAAAAAGCCACAACTTAAGTACTTGGCGTTCGCCAGACAAACTTTGCATAAATACAGTTAACGCTTTATAATTCTGGCCGGAAGTAGAAAAATAAGAAGTGATAGTAAAGATTTAAAATAAAATAAACGTTAGTAAAACTTAAGATCCTTACATACTTCCCGCCAGAGTTAATTAGTTTGAAACTGAGGTCTAAAACGACCTTGTTGAAAACTTTTAGCTCTAGAATCTAACGCGAGGCCAATCTTTTACAAACATTTTCTCGCTAGAAACTAGAAATTTAAAAGAAAGAAATTTGTTTTTACAATAGCAGCTCCCAGGACACACAATTTTTTTTCATCTGTACTGCATCTAAACAGGAGCTTTTATTCAAATCTGGTTCCTTCCAGAGATCTGGAAGGAAAACTAGTTTAATGAAATGTTACACAATGAAATGGCAAGTAACATGTATAATTATATTTCTCTTAACATTCTTATTTCATTCATGACTATTTTAATTATCTCTCCCCGTGCTCTCTGACATGTGTTGTAAAAGAACACCAAACACACGAATGTGTTTATGTCTACGTGTTCAACACTTCCTCCTACAATCAAAACACTAACGTGTTAAAATTCAACATACCAAGACCTCGTAACACACCCTAATTTCAACTCTAAACCCTGAGGTACTATTCTGAAAGTGGCTAACTCTGAAGTGTAGCGTCAGAGAGCCTAACTACATTCATTCAACCTTTAACACATATTCACCATGATTTGGTCTTTTTACAGTCACACGAATAAAAAAAAATTTTAACATTACTTTCACTTTTACCATATCACGGTATTTCTTAACATTTAAAATAACAGTTCACATTGTATATAAGAACATATTAACATGCCGTTAATTTTACGCATTTGAAAACATACATTAGTAGTACATTGTTAACTTCTATTCTTTTCAAAGCAAGTGCCAATTCTTTCTACATTGAAATACTACATTTCAAAAAGTCTTTCAGACTAAAACTTCTTTCTTGCCAGAATGTTTTAAATAAATATTTATACAATAACTTTTTACAATATTTAAGTCTTTACACAACGCTATTATACATCAACTTTAGTTTTACGCGCGAGTAGTAATTGAAAAACATAATACCAAAATCGGTAACAACTCATTTCTCGCCCTTTTGGCGATAAAGGTAGACCTCGCATGAGGTAAAACTTCTTGAAATCTGCCACTTGCAGTAAGAATGAAAGATTAACTTAAGTTTGCAAAGTAACATAAAATTTTACTTATCTTTGTGATATTCGGACATTCTTTTCTGGGCCCAGTCCTGGAAGGTAGTGCAGATTGTTGTTTGATTTATCCTCCTTCTTGTGCGGGCTCGCCCTTCAGTGCCTTCCTCTAGAAGCTTTCTTTTTTCTCCAGTTCGGTCACCCTTGAATACCTTCTTTTTCGCCTCTGCCTGTGGTCTTGGCCGTTTGATGGCAGCTGGTCTTGGCGGAAACCGGGAAACTTCTTTCGTGTTCCTGCTTGGACCTCGTTGCTGGCCGTTCAAAAATTTTCCTTGTAACTTTTCCTCCGCCGCTGGTGGCCCTTCCGCAGTTCGGCGACATTTTGCTGCGGAGAGTCCTGTCGGATGAGTAGATCTTCCGTTTTAGAGCCGGGTTATAGTTGCCGTCATTTCTCCTGGTTCTCTTTGCATATACGTCGTCCTTCTCCCTTCTTCATTCTGGGGGTGTTCGTGAGCTCTCTTTTCTGGACGGTGGAACGGCTTCTTTTTCTTGTTACCTTCAATTTTTCCGCGGGGAAACTTTCTTTTCACTTGCTCCTGCCTCTTAATGGCTTGCCCTTGTACTTGTCGTTTGTTCCACCTCTGGAGCTTGTGCCTGCGGTGTCTGCCGTGCCGGATCCTGCAAAAGATCTGAAAATATTTGCATTTTATTACGATCATAGTAGGGTTTGATTTGATCAATGTTTGCGGAGCAGGTTTCACCATTTCTGGCTTTTAACACTACTACAGCGTGAGTTATTTTTTCTATGACATATGGTCCTTCAAATCGTGGAAAAAAATTTGGCAGTTTTATCTTCTGGTGCTGAAGAAAGTGAATGCTTAATTTTTAAAAAAACTTCATCCCCTACTTTATAAGTTACTCCCCGTCGTTTCAAGTCATAATAGAGCTTTTGTTTTCTCTGTGCTACTTCAGTATTCTTTTTGCTTCTTTAATTAGTTTTTTTTCTATATCACCCATTTTAAATTCTGGGGCTCTTTGTTGCACATAAAATAATTTATCTAACGGCGTTATAATCTTTCTGCCTAAAAATAACTCAGCAGGAGTTTTGCCCGTTGTATCATGTTTTGCGGTCCTAAGGGCGAAAGCAAATTCATTGACATAGTTATCCCAGCTTTTATGAAAATTTTTAACATAACTACGGATAATTTTCACTATATTTCTATTGACCCGTTCCGCTATATTTGATTGCGGCCGATACGGGACCATTTTTAAATGACGTATGCCCAGTTTTTGGCACATGTCTTCAAATATATTACTTACAAATTGAGGACCATTATCCGATATAACTTTTAGGGGCGCCCCGTATTTTAAAATATATTTATTTAAAATAGAATCAGTAACTAATTTCGCGGAGGCTCGTTTTAAGGGAACAATTTCGGTCCACTTACTAAAATGATCAACCATAACAAGGGAGATAGCGACTTTTATTTAACTGACTTTTTGGGAAAGGGCCCAATAAATCGATGCCAATTATTTCATTTGGAAATTCGGATTTAATACTATTTAGAAAACCCAGCTGGGCGGAAATTAATATAATTAACTGCTTGACATGTTGGGCAGGACTGGACATACGCCCTTGTTAACTTTTGCAGTTCAGGAAAATAGACTGCTTCGCGTACGCGTTGGATAGTTTTTCGAATACCAGCATGAGAAGCTAAAGGGCTGTCATGGAGCTCCAGGATATTTAATCTAAGACTAGCTGGGATAACAGGTCGAAATTCGTTGTTGGAATTCGTAGTTTTTGTATAAAATAATAGACCATCTATTAGTTCGTAATGGGCCGCCCTATTTCTTATCGCCACAATATCTTGGTGGCTAAAATTTTCAGGATCCTTTAAATACTCATAAATGCTTCCAAACTCAGGATCCTTACCCAGTTCGGTTATTACAGTTTCTCGGGAATTTATTGTACATGCTGTGAGCATTGCCACCTTTACAGTATTACCTTCTTCATCTATTTTAATTCTGGATAGGGCATCTGCTACGATATTTTCCTTTCCGGGGGTATGCTTGATTACCAGATTATATTCTTGTAGCTTGAGTGCCCATCTTATTAACCTTGGGGATAAGTTTTTCCCTGAGTACAATCTAGTTACCGCCGCATGATCAGAAGTACACTGTTATTGGCGCCTTTCCAAAATAGACTCGGAACTTTTGCACTGCTAACAGAATTGCAAGTGCCTCTCTCTCGGTCGCGGAATAGTTTCTTTGTGTTTGATTTAAAGTTCGGCTAAAAAAAATGCCACGGGCTGCTGATTTTGCGAAAGTACCGCTCCTACCGCATAATCCGAAGCATCCGCTGAAATTTCTAAATTCTCATCCTTTTCAGGAAATTTCAACACAGGGGCTTGCGTTAATGCTTGTTTTAATTTTTCGAAAGCACTATTGGCTTCGGCCGTCCACGAGAATCTTGCCTTTTTCCTTTTTAATTTTAACAATGGTTCAGCAATAGCTGCAAAATCTTTTATAAAGGACCTATAATATGAACAAAGTCCTAGAAAAGAAGAGAGCTTCTTCGCCGTGTTTGGAGTCGGATACTTTTGTACAGCGATTATTTTTGATTCGTCTGTCTCGATTCCTTTCTGAGATATTTTGTAACCTAAATATTTTAATTCAGGGGCTGCAAATTTGCACTTTTCGACATTAACTTTTAGACCGGCCTCATTTAATAAAGAAAACACCTGTCTTAAATCCTGTACATGTTGGTCGAGATTATCACTAGTAATAATGATATCGTCTAAATAGATAAATGTGTGGACTTTCCAAGAACAGGCCTTAACACAATGTCCATACATCGCGCTGAAATGTTGCCGGTGCCCCTGAAAGGCCAAACGGCATACGCAAAAAATGCATAAGTGCCAGACTTGGTTATAAAAGCAGTCTTAGGCACGTCCTCAGGCCTAACCCCTATTTGAAAATAACCAGTCGTTAAGTCTAAAGTCGTCATATATTTGGTGGATGTTATGTTCCTTAGAATTTCTTCAATAATAGGTAACGGATATACCGGATATTTAGTTATGGAGTTTAATTTAATTTACGGTAGTCAATTGCGAATCTCCACCTTTTTGGATGTGTCAAAGGATAGTCATTATTTTTCTTACATAAAACCACCGGGCTAGCATAACTACTTGAGATGGGCGTTATGATCTTTTTACGTAGCATATCGGTGATATGTGCCATTCTATAATTTTTTCCTTATTCTTATCATACCGGTATGCTTTGTGGCGAACTGGCATTGAATCTCCGGTGTCAATACTATGGTTAGTAACCTGAGTAAATCCTGGAATATCACTAAATAACGAAGCAAATTCACTTACCACTTGTCGGATTCTTCGTTGCTCTTCATTAGGCAGGTGGTCAAGGTTTAACATCGGCGGTTCAGCCTTTTCTTCTCGAACTGGTTTCATCGTCAGCTTAAGGGACGCTTCATTAAAATCCAGCGTTGCTTGTGCCTCTGAAAGAAAATCTATTCCTAAGATTAAATGTGCTTGCAGATTCTTTACTATAAAAAAAACATCACCTTTACTTGTTCGTCCTTGATACGGACATACAGCGGTAATTTACCTATACACTTACATTTTTTTCCTTGCGCCGCTAACACTGTCGTATTATCCGAATTATATATGCGGTATTTACGAAAAATACTTCCTAAAAAAATCTTCTGCCACACAGGAACACTGCGCGCCTGTATCCAGGAGTGCGGTGGCTGGGATATTATTCACCAACACTTCAATCTTCGGAAGAGTCAAATTTTTCACCATTACTGTATTTAACTTGAAGGAAGAGGGGGTTTTCTTGGCCTTCGGATTTCCGCACCCTCTCGTCAGCAGAAATCCGTTTTAGTTTAAATTATTTGTCATTTCCGTGCTTTCCTTCTTTTTCCACTGGCCTTGAGACTTTTTTTCCTGGATTGCTATTGAACTGTCGACGTTCGCCGGCTGTTTTTGAATGCTCGGGTTTCCTTGCCCACTGATTCGCTTTGCTTCCGTAGCCGTGTGCTTGAGTTTGCTGTAGTCTTGGCGCACCAAATTGGTTTCGCTGTTGATATTGGCGTCTTCTTTCAATGTCCGCCGTTCTTCTACTTTCAAACTGGATTGCTAGCTCAAATAACTTTTCCAGTGTAGTCGGATTTCTTAATTCAATAAAGTCTTGCACTTGGGGCAGTAACCTCGGCAAAATCACTTGAATTATCTCAGGATCCGGACGGTTTCCATACAAGAGTTTGAAGACGTGAATTTTTCTTAAAATAAAGCTTGAGAGAGATTTTCGATTCGTTTGCTGGTATATGCTGAAAAGTTCCGTTTCTAATTTCGCACGATCCCTTACGACAGGGAAGGCTTTTACTAGGGCAGTCTTGAAATTTTCGTAAGTATAGGTGGGACTTCCTGCTTGACCCAAGAGCCTTCTGCCTATACATTTGAACCAGCTAAGCGCTTGTCCCCTCAAAGCGCTGGTAGCTAAGGTAACTTTTTGAAACTCGTGCGCGGGGTAGAGCATGAAGTGGTCATCCAATTTTTCCAAAAAAACTGGTTACCGGTGAGTTTCCATTAAATGTTGCTTCTGGTTTCATCGAAGCGCGCATGGTCTGGACGATGTAAACCAAATCCTTCCAGGGCGGCAGCTGGCATTTCTGGATTCTGAGCCGCTTCTGCAGGCAGCACAGGTTCTTCTTGAAACTCGGCCATGGTTATTCTTCTTCGTTGGGCGCCACTATCAGGTTCAATGTTCCGTCTTACTTTCTTCGGGAACATGCAAGGACCTGACTCGGAACAGAGAGCTTACTAAAGCTATGTTCAATAACTGTGGGAAGTAGACAGGATACACAAGAAGGGTATACAAAACCCTTTATTTTCTCTATTTACAATAATTTCCGTACTTCGGAATACACAGACCCACTACTTGTGGTCTAAACGTAAAAATATAAAAATAAAACTAAACTCTAATTTAACTTTAAAATAATAAACGTGGAAGATTGGCCTTATATTAACAGGAAGCCGTATGTAGTACAGAGAACTGTGAACACTACAATACGTTTAAAATTATCAAGAGGATTAAACCTCTGGCCTGGAAGGCAACCAGCAACCGAGTAAAACTGCTAAGGCAAGCGGCCTGCTTCGACTAACTCCTTCCCTCTCTCTCGCTTGGCAAAAAGCCACAACTTAAGTACTTGGCGTTCGCCAGACAAACTTTGCATAAATAAGTTAACGCTTATGATTCTGGCCGGAAGAAGAAAATAAGAAGTGATAGTAAAGATTTAAAATAAAATGAACGTTAGTAAAACTTAAGATCCTTACACCTTGACTGGCTAGCTCTCCGGATGTTTATTTTAAAATAAGGGATTCTTTCTGTATTTATGTCTTTCATTAATTCTGACTTTTGAACAATTTATAATTAATATAATATGGAATGCATAATGCCAGCATGTGCTTTATATCAGATAAACCCATCAGCTCATAGTAGTTCAGCATTCATAATGGAAGATTTTATAAATAACATGACAGCATAATCCCTTCATATTTGCAATCTTGTTTGAATCTACTAAAAAAATTATTAGGAATTATTTATGATAAAGTTTTAGTATTGTATTAAATGTTCATAAAAATTTTATTCCTCATTTTTTATTAGAATGCTTAAAGTCTATCCTTGTGTGTAGTAAATTTATTGTAGCATATATTGTTCTACATACCTTGCTAAAATTTGCTGTTAATGGAAAGAATTATTATTAACACTTATAACTGAAGAATTTTAATTGGAGTAAATTGCGTCAGATTGAAATTAATTATATAATTTTTAATAATGTTTTAGTTTAGTATTCATGTGCATATTTCATCTTAAAATTCATTCCCTCCCCTTCTTTGGAGTTATAATATATTTTAATTCTATTTGAAGTTGCTGGAGCCATCGAAAGCCGATATTCATGTTGTCAAGGGGATTCTGAATCTGATGGTTGTTGTGTCAGTGCGGTAAGTATTTATTTTATGGCAACATATAAAAGAAAACATTTCTGATTATTGTTGTTTTTTATATACAGTGTGTCTGAAAATTCATTGAACAAACTTTGTTTTGGATGTATGACAAGCACATCAAAAAAAAAAAAATTATATATACATAAGGTATGGTCAGAATATAAGCAGGAGGATGCTTATACAAGAGGCAGAAAGTGAAAAATTGTGCTTTGCTGCAACTGCTTAAAATAAAAATCACTACCCATAATACAAGCTTGAGAGTGTCAATTCATTGATTATTGTTAGTACTCAAAGAGACTAGACATTTTCCATATAGTAGCAACAATAAATATTGGCAATAAATTCAGCAAATTGAAAGAAGTCTTTGTCAGAGACTCATTAGATGTCTGTAAAAAGAAATCCAGACATGACAAAACCAGTGATCCTGGTGCTTGACATATAAGCCCATCATAGCTAATCCATAGCCACTTAAGTATTCATATTTGGGGCTCAAGTGATTATGATCTTTTATTGTATTGGTAACCAAATTTCTGCTGAAACTACAGTAAACATCAGATGGCTACTGTAGGAAGCTCTCTAAGAAAAAGAATTCTTCCTATTAAGTTAGCTTGAGATAGTTAAGGCCTAATAAAGAAACAATTTTCATAAACCATTCAGTATTAATCCCCTCCCCAAAAAATTTATTTCTCAGCATGCGACTGCATAACTTATTAATTCACTTCTTGTTTATAGGTGAACATTATGAGAATGTTTGTCCCATGCATTTAGAAACATCTTGTAATGTTGAGAACTAACATTTCATATTCACAGGGTTCGTATGACCCTTTAGAGTCCTTAAAAGTCCTTAGGTTTTTTTTTAATCTGTTTTTAACCCTTAATTTTGGCCGAAATTGGCAGGAAGTCCTTAATTTTAATCGTCTAAAATTTCTGTCTGTTTTTATAACTTTCATTTTGAGTGTGAATTAGCATTTTGGAGGAATATTTTTGGTGACTCACTGACAAATACAGTTATCTTTGGAATATGTTCATGGGTTGTAATTTGTTCTTATTTCTAATATAAATGGTGGAATACTTGAGTTTCTGAACAAGAAGTGAAAAATAAGGATGTTGAAATTATTTTATTTTTTCTAATGAAGAGTTCTTAAACAACTTTCACTTTGGGGGATGTGAAATCTTTTATTAAACTGCTCTAAATTTGGCAACTTATCAGCATTTTGGTGATTTTAAGATGAGTTTCTATAGAAAATTGTTAATTCCAAGATCTGGGAATTTTTCAACGATATTTTTAAAACATTGTAACATTGATAAATTTCATTAAAATAATGGTAATGTATGAAAATTATATTTAAAAATAATGTTAAAATAAAATATTTTTATTTTTCGCTGTCATATTATAAAAGTTCCATTTTGGCCACTTATTATATAATATTTTGTATCAGTATAATGCTATAAAGCACAGTTTAGGAAGCAGTTCTTGGCAAAAGCAAAATAGCTATGTAATTAATTAAAAATGTCTTTCTTTTAATTTTTTCATGGTAAGAGTTTTTTCCATGTAATTGTCTCAGAATAGGCATCAGTTTTTCTGTAAAATTAATTTAACATTCCCCCCCTTTTTTTTTTTCAAAATATTTCTGGCTTTTTGTTGTTACAGAATTCATAGGTGTAAATTTTCTTCAGGATTTTAGACACTGCAGCTTGGAAAGTTTAGAAGGATTTGAAGGCAAGGTTTATAGTCCCACGATTCTGGAAGATTCCAAAAAAATGTAACAAAATTAAAAATGTCTCCATGGTATTAACCCGTAAAATTTTACAGAAAGTTTGTGATGAATTTCTTACTTTTTCGAAAACATCTGGAAGAACATTGAAAACATAATATTTGAATGTTTTACTTCTGACACTCGAGTCTTTTCCTGAACATGTTTATCTTCCCTTTATTTTCTCTACTTTTCGCTAGACACAAGTGTGGAAAATATCAAAAATGCTTCTGATCTTATCACATGCACAGGCACTTTTTATTAATAAAAAAATTGAAAACTAACAGTTTAAAAGAAGAGGTATCTAATATGTCTTAATGCATCATGCACAAGGCTGGTGCTAGGCATTTTCCCACTTGATGCAATCTCTTTGGATCTTAAATTCTGCTGCCTAGTGTCTTTCTGAATTCTGCTTCCAAATCCTGCTCTAAATTCTAAAAGTTTTGCCATTTCTAAATTTTGATGCTTGGTTTGTGACTAAATTCTAAAAATTCTGCCATATCAGCTTTGTAACCAGCCCTTACCATATGTATTTCATATTTCTTCTGAATGTTCATATGACTTATTTATTAACCATTGCCTTAAAAGAGCAGGTGTTAAATACTCACTCTAAATCATTTAACTGATAGGAATATGATAATTTGTTCCTAAACCTGAGAAGGCGGTATAAGTTGGATGACTATCAGTTGAAGGATTTGTATATAGTGTAATTACTCAGTTGTATATATTGTAAAAAGCTAATTGTCTTCAGACTATACTGTACTGTTACTAAAAAAATGGGCCTATTTCATGATCTTTAGTCTGTCTAATAGCTCTTTGACAGTAAAAAATTCCTTTTTTCCTTTCTTAAATTCTTAATCATTGCGACACGACAATTAGCCAGAAAATTAATTAATTTCCATTCACTAGTATTTTCAAAAAATAAATAAAAAATAAATAAATAAAAAAAAAATTAACAGACGGTTTCACTCAAATAAGAACTCCACAAATACATCCTCAAGAATTCCGAGTCCCACCCACTACCATAAATTACTTCACCCAAGTCTTACCGACTGATATTATTCAAAGCCCCCACTGCCGCTAAGAATTTTCGGACACCCTACACTTCTGAGTCAGACACGAAGAGAAACACTTTGCCAACTCCCCACTAGAAAGAATGTAAGTTACTTAATACCTTTTTCTGGCCTTTATATCTTCATGTACATTCACTGTTCTTATTATTTTTTTTTTTATATATTTTTTGATTTGTTTTTGCAAAGTTTGCATTATTTATCTTATTTTGTAATCTTCTATGTTTATTTCAACTTTACTTTGAATTCGATTTCATAATGACAATTTCCAATTTAATTTTTACAAATAATATAGAACTCAAATGCATAAACATGAGGGTGTCGGGGACGGTTACTCGAGTTTTTCGGATTTCTCTACAGAAATTGCTTTTTACTCCAAATTGAATTGACTAAAATGCTTCATAAGAATAAGTTCTTTGAGTATCAGCATGGATCATAATCCCTTCTATTCGCGGAAATATTTGGCCTGACTAGAATTGCCGGTTTGGCTTTAACTTATAACTCGAGTAAAGACGAAAACACCTTCGTATTTACGTATTTATTTATCAATTATTGTTCATTGAACGGGAGTTGGTTTGTTTCCCCTTGAAAAGTCAAGCTAATTTCCGATCAATGACAATGATTACATGCTTTAATTTAATTTTTCCTTTTACAATTGAAATTTTTATTCATGATGATTTAACTCCAGTCCCCGTTAAAACATTATTAACATTTTGCTTTCAAATTACTTCAAAACATCTTTCAAAATATAACTTACCAGTATGGATTCACTCTTTTAAAATAATTCTACTTAATTAGGAGATAATAATCAATTAATCAATATGTTTAGGATTAAATATTATTAACTTACTTTGCAGCAATTGCGCAAGTAGTAGTAACTTGTTTTCGCACTAAATGAATTTAAGATCATACAACATTATATATATATATATATAGTGCTGATTTCACCAAATTATACATATCTTTTTGGAGGTATGCTGCCTGGGCCCCACCTTATGTTTCTGTGGTACTGCAACAAAAATTTCCTGAATATATACTTTTCCAGTCTTCTTCAGTGATTTAACAGCCCATGCTAGGTCCTGACCCTTTTTATACCCTTCTTTGGGTGCTGATTAAATTATGATGACTCTATGCCCATATGTCCTGTAAATTTCTGCATTGTTTCTTCTTCTGCAGAGTCTGTCTATTTGAGTACTTCCAACAACACTTCTCAAAAAACTTTCCCTCAAAGACTGCAAGTATTTTTTTATACTTTTCATCCAGTGTCCAGTTTACAGTACCATATGTCAATGTAGGTCTAATTAAACATTCATAAATTGTCAGTATAGCTGCTCTTTTATTAAAGCTTGATTTTGGATATTTCTTTAAACCAAGGAAGCATTTTTAGCGTTACTCTGTTATGAATTTCTGGGGAGATATTGTTCCCTATATTAATTAAAGAGTCAAGATATGTGAAACACTCAACAACTTCAATTTATTTTTTCAATTTTTAAGAAAAAATGATCGAGTTTTTATTAGTTCATTGCATATATTTAGTTCTTGTTTGATTGATGACTTTTTCCAGTCTGCTAGAGTACGGTTTAATAAGATGCATGTTTTTACGTTATGCATTCAGTTGGGTTAGTAAGTTGATAGAATTTGATTCTCACCATTATTGTAGACGTGAGTGTTGCTTACATTGTACCATTTGTGTCTGGCTTATAGACGGGTATCAAAATTTGTTTGGAGGTTTTTTAAGTTCTGGGTGGAATCTGCATAGTGTTTGAGTCATTGAAAAAATATTTAGTATATTATTAAATTTCATTTACATTTACATTTTATCAAAATAGTAGTTAAAATGGTACTTGTATAGTATTGAAGTTTTTATCTTTATAGGGCCATGTATTTGAAGGGTCTGAGGCTCATGTTTTGAAAGGATATGTTAGAACTTTACCCAAAACCCCACCTCCTGATAAATATTATGGAATTTACGCTTTGGATTGCGAAATGGTAATATATTAATTCTTAAAATAATATTTTTTGTTGTATTCATAAATAATTATTTATTTTTATGAGTGTATCAGTAGTTATTTTAAGTAACAAGGCAAAAATTAAATTTTCAAAAATGAAAATGTGTTATTATTAACAAAATTATTCTCTAAGCTCTGTTCATATAATGAGCAATATTTAAAAACATTTCGTAGAATACATTTTAACTTGTGAGTGTTGTTTATTCAGTCTAAGATATCCAGTCCAGTATGCATAATCTTGATGCAAAGTAATTAAAGAACTCTCTATTATTTAGTTATTTAGCAAAATTTTTCCTTATCAAGATAATAATCTAATTGTGAAATATTGAACTTTTGAAATTTTTTCAGGGTATTAAAGGAATATGTAATATTTTTTGTTTAACATTCTAAACAAGGTAGTGATTTAATTATAAACTAATACATTTTGAATTTCAGGACTTACATTTTGATTAATTTATCTACAATTAATTTTCATCAAATGTAACAGAAGATTAAATAGGAAGAGAAGCATGTCATTGTCTTAAAGCATGCTGTTTCATGCCAAAACTTAAAATTGGGCAAAACAACAATTTAAGTGAGCAGAATTTTTTTGCCTCTGAAGAAGAGGGACATGTGTCAAATTACTCTCAAAATCAATAGAGTTTTATCTAAAATCCACCCCAGAATTACTGTTTTGCCTAATTGCAAGTAATAGAAGATACTAGACAAAGAATTCAGTTTGTAAAATTGTTGATGGTGAACAAAATCATCTTTTCAAAGTCATTGGGTATACTGCTAGTTTTATTGAAACTTTATACCAGAACAATTTTATATTGTTAAAAATCAACAGTTTTGAGTGGCCTGAATTATAAATGATGCAAGCTACAAAAAGGCAAATAAAAATAAATGACCAAAAAGAAGCATTTACTTACAATTACTATGTAATATAACACTGTATAGTGTAAACTAACTGCAAATTAATTCTGTAGACTAAAGACACTTTTTAGTTGTCTAATTCTTTAGATCTTTATTATTTGTTATTGCTAGTTAATTTGATAATTCTACATTCTGTCAAAGAAATTTTTGCAACATTTAAGTGATATTGTCATGTAAAATTTCTAAATCAGTTTTCTGGCTTTTGTTCCCCTCTTGAAGGACCATAATTTGTGTGTGTGTGTTCTTAAATTTTCTGTAAAAATTTTATTATTCACATTTTATTATAATTGTGTATTCATTCATAAATAAAGAGTTTATTGTGAAACTTCAGTTATTAATTGAATGTGGTGCAAATGTTTTACTTCTGTTTTTTTTTTAATAAATTTATTATTTTTTTATTTACTTTTTAGTGTTATACAACAGCAGGCTTGGAACTAACAAGAGTAACTGTGATAGGAACTGATCTAAAACCAGTATATGAAACATTTGTAAAACCACAAAATAAAGTTCTGGATTATAATACAAGGTTTATTTTCTGTTTTGTGCATTTTATTAGATTTAAGCTTATAGCAAAAATATATGAACTTTTTTTATACCATGTATATACCATATGATGTGTGTTATTTATATGATTGTATATGTATATAACAATAAACTATGGGATTTTTCTCTTGTAAAGCTGTATATACTTAGTTGAAACCAATTTTGCAGACATATATCATTTAAGAAATCTAAATCATCGGAGTTCCATAAATACAAGTAAAGTGTAAGAAGTTAAAGCATTTTTTCATGTAGTGCTGCTGTCAGATAGCCTATTATGACATATAAGTGCATATTGCAAACATATTAAATATGCTTTTGTTTTTTTTAGCTAGCCGGTATTAACTATACACACACGGGGGGGGGGGGGATTTTATTTTATTTTACTTTTTATTTTATTTATTTATTTATTTATTTTTTTTTTTTTTTGGTAAGTTTTTTTTAGGTAGCTTGCTTGATTAATTTCTACTATAGTTTGAAACTTATTTTGTCAATAATTCTGAGCATTTTTTTATTTTGAGTCTTTATTAGGTTTAATTGTTGAATTTAGCAAATTCTTGCATTTTTTGCATTATTGCCTACATTTGTTTTGCAAGATTCCTTTCAAAATACAGTATTAATACTCAAAACTACTTCTGCCACATTTTCTTTTACTGGAACAAAAGATACTGTAAAATTTCATCATTAAAACAAACATTCTGCACTGAATGTGTGTGTGTGTGCTTGGGAAAGGAATATTATTTATTCATCAAATTTCTTTGCAGGTCATCACATGCCTCTATTTTCCAATAATTTATTTAGTTCTGGCAAAGCATTTTTTTTTCTCACCAATAAAACATTCAGAAGTAATAATCAAATATTTATAATTACACAAAACCCATTCCCCGAAATTACCCCTACCACCAAAACATATTTTAAAGTTTAAAATTGGGCGAGATTAAGTCTTAAATTCAGTTTGATTCTTAAACACAATTTTTTCCTCCATATTTGGAGAGAATATGACATTTAATTTTCTTTTTATTTAGTTTTAAAGGCTGTTGCCTTCATCTCTTATTTTAAAGTCATAAGAATGTCTCTAATTTTGGTATTCATCTAAAAAATTCAAAGAAATTTTAAAATTTTAATAGGGTTAAATTTATTAAAATGATTTTCTGTTAGAAGTCAACAAATAACAATTATGAAATTAATCTAGTTTTGTATTTTAGAAAATTTTCAAATCTTTTGAAAAAGTTGATTTACCTTCCATAACTGATTGAATTTGTTTGTACTCTTAATAATAATAATAAATTTGTAAGCTTAAAAATTGCATATACAACAATCTTCAGTTAAATGCTAAGTGAAGCATTGGTAATTATTAATTAGTACCGAGAAGACTGATAGCTATCTGATGTATAAAATCTTACGGCTTTTAAGTGTACAAAATTTAAATTCTTAATATTTAAAGGAGTATGTAAATGCATATTGACTCATTTATTATTTATTTATGCATTTGTACATAAAATACATGTATAAATCATGTCCATTTGTATGTCAACTCTGTGAATATATGCAGAATATCATTGTCTTTTATTGAGGCAAGAACTGTATTTGAAATATGTGAGTGTGGGGAAATTGTTTGAATGGTGGTTTCTATTTGATTGTTAGATCACCTTTAAAATTAGGTACATCTAATTTTGTCTTTTGTTATATGAATCCATGAAGTCTGTTAATTTTCCCTTCCCTTCTGATCAAAGTAATCTTAAGTTAAAAGAAAATGCTATAGTGGCATTTGAAAGGGATAAATTGCAAGGTGAATGGACAGTGGTTATTATGTCCTCCCAAAACAGTACTATTTAGAAATGTTTTTTGTAAAATAATGTGCAGAATTCCAGTTAAAAATTGCATATGAAGCTGTTAAGGAGGGGGAATTGTAAGATGGAATAACTATGTCCTATCTCCCCCCCCCAAAAAAAAATACTATTTAGAAAAGATTTTGAAAAACTATGGACCAAATATTAGTTGCTTATTTTTGGAAAATTATTTAAATATTGAAAGTTTTTAAAAATTGAAGGTACAGAAAGCAAAATATATTACCTCATTCTTTGAATTCTGTAAATAATAAAAATAATACTTTTGAAATTTTTATCTGCAATACAGTAAGTAAGTGCAGCTTAATTCAGTGTACACTTTATTAAATTTATATTCCCATTTAATTACTAATTGTGTAAAGCTTCATGATTTTGAATAAGAATACTGAATCAGGTTTTAATTCAATAGATAGATTCTTTTTGTTTTAACTATGTTTTTTTTTTTTTTTTTTTTTTTTTTTTTAAAGTTAAGCAGTGATATGCAGATTGTGTAGCTTTATAATCAGTGCATTAAATTTTGTATATGCAGGCTGTTTGAGCACAGTATTTAGAAACTTTCAGGAGAGATAGATTACACCTAGATGATAGAAAATCACATAGCAGTACAAGGTCAGAAATGCTTTACTGTTCCCATTGGTGATGACACAAAACAGAAGAAACGAATATATATATATGCATATAAAAATAAGGTAATACATTACCAGTCTCTATATGCCAGCATTGTCGGGCAGTGCTTGTTGCCCCAACATCTGACATGTGCAGTCAATCTCATCTTTCTTTTGCAAGTATTGCCGCAACTGTTGGAGAATGCACATACCTGCTGTGATGCATTCTGCCATATGGTTTGAGCATGATAGGATCCCTTCATATTACAGCCTTAATGTGCATTTCAACCTGAATGCAATGTATTCTCAACATTGGATCAGCAAGGATGGTTCAGTGCATTGGCTAGCAACATTGCCAAACTTCACTTGCATTGACACTTCCTCTGGGGGTACCTCAAGACAATGGTGTATGAAACACCCTGTTAACAGTTCTGAGGAACATGTTGCACACATCATGGCAGCTGTTGGGGAAGTCCGGAACATGACCAGTATTTTCCAGAATATCAGATCTTTCCTGTGTTGGAGATGTGAGGGACAGATCAGGGTCTGAGGTCATAATTTTGAACACCTTCTTTGATAGTTGTCTTTGTTCTTACTTCTTGATTTCTGCTGTACTAAGCATAATAAACATGTTTTCTTACTCTGTTCATGTCCATCCTTTCTTGTGTTTTGTGTTGTCACTACCGTGCCAGGAAAATGTTTCTGACCATGCAATTGCTATGTGATTTTCCATTATCTAGTGTACACTGTCTCCTGAAAGTTATTAATTTCTTTGTTGAAACAAAGTAGATAGATGCACGGGATAATGTAAATATAAAAATTAATTTTTTTACATCACTTTTCCTTGGTATGTATTTTAAAATATATAGAGATTTTGTTTTCAAATGGCAGACATTTGCATTGCGAGTATTTGACAGAAATAGTTGAACCCATCACTTAATTAACCATCGTATCACCAAAAGCATTTCCTTAGGTGCATTATAGGGTATGGATTCATACTGTACCTTCAAGAAGAACGGTAAGGCACACATAAACAACCAATATAAGCAGGAGTCAAACCTGCCTTCTAAATATGCCAAAGTTATTCTCTGTAACTTTTCTAGTTTTGATTTTTTTTTTTTTAATCTGTGGTATAATATTTCTAAAAAAGTCTATCATAAAAGTTTTGATAAATAGTTAACTATGATTCATTTTTCTTTGGATTTTATTTTTGCATTTGTCACTTTATTTTTTCAAATTTCCCTTCAGACTGAAAAGCTTTATCCAATAGGTGAATTTATTCAACCCAGAAATTCTTGAATATCATACATTTTTGTTCGTGTGAACTTATTTAAGAGCATGAAAAGTATTATCTCTTTTTTTTTTTTTTTTTTTTTGTATTTATTATAATTCTTTGGTATAAGAAAGTTATGACCATTATTTTATTGTTTTAATTAAAATTGCAGATTCAGTGGCATTACAGAAGATGATTTGAAGAATGTACGTACAACAATACGAGATGTTCAAGCTGTAATGCTATGTATATTTAATGATAAGACAATACTTATTGGGCACAGTTTGGAAAGTGACTTCAAGGCTCTAAAGGTATATTTTATGGGTTTCATTTTGAGTATTTCAGGAAAGCAAGTAATATTTGATTTTGTGTTTTAAAAAAAGTGAAATATAAGTGGACTTTTTATGTGCAGTATGACCTGTTAACAAATTCCTTCATCAATATATTATCTTTCAATGTTTTTATACAAAATTTTGATAGTTTATCAATGCTGAAATTATTTAAAAAATTTCAGCTTTATTTGTATGATAGGTTAAGAATTATTCTTTATGACCAGATTTTTTCCCTTCTTATTCTTTTTCACATTTGCAGAAGTTTGTGCAAAAAAGTGTAATATGCCGTAATTTACTCAAAAATAATTAGCTTTGTTTCTGTTCCAAAATTTGGTAGGATCTTATAAATGGATACTTTGATAAATGAAATTACAGTTTGCAAAATTAAATATATATATAACTTACTGTGTTAAAAGCTGATTCATGTTTTTGCTCTATCAGTTGATTCATAAGACTGTGGTTGACACATCAGTTGTATTCCCTCATAAAATGGGGCTTCCATACAAGAGAGCTCTTAAAACACTGATGGCTGAAAAACTGAACAAGATTATTCAGAATGATGGTAAATTTTTTCTATTATCTTTCAGTTACTGAATTGAATATAGTTGAACATTTAATAATGATCTTTCATTAATACATGTCAGAATTTTCTTCATCATGATATGACAACAGCAGCATAATTGATTGGAAACTGGTGTAGTAGATGACTAGATAGAATTTGGAGAGAAGCATTGTCCATGGCAAAGTACTTAAACATCATTTTCTTAGCACATATTTTTTTAATTGGTAGAACACTAGGGGTGCTAAACATGTCCCACTATTAGATACATAATTATATCTCAAATGATAGAGAATAGTTAGTAGAGGCTAAGCAGCATGCTGCCGGCATTAAGGTGAAAGAGTGATGCGTAATAATTGCAGTAGTATTTATAAGCTAAGAAAGTCTTTGTTTTATATCTAAGCGACAGTTGGGCAAAAGATTTCGCACTATGGTTACTTCAGGAAAAGCATGATGTAAAATGGTAAAATAGGGAGCCTTGAAGAGGGAATGTAAGCAATTAAGAATTTAAAGGACCATTCCAATTAAGTTTTCTTTGTAATAAATTTTCTTCATATTTTGATATATATATATATGCACACATTAATTTTTTGAAGAGGTAGAGCAAATGTTTTTCCCCAATTATAAAAATTTTGTGATATATGTGTCATTGTGATGGATGATTTTGATTTTGTATTACACTCATGAATTGACCTTTAATCATAAATGAATGAAAATGATTCACCTGTGTTATTTATTTATTTATTTATTAGCTATAACTTGCTTTGCACTAGAATGTTTTGCATCTCTGTACAAATAAGTGATACCATTTGTTATGCTTTTTAAAAGCTTGTAAAAGTTTGAAGACTAAATTCTAATACTTACCTGTAGATTAAAGCTCCCATTCTCTGAAATAACTCAGATTTCAACCCATCCATATTATTAAAACCAAGCATATAATTATGTTATTTCTCCTGTTGTTTTTCTTAATGTCATGTTTCGTATGTTTTTATAAAGTTTCTTATGTTATTTTTCTTAATGTTATGTTATGTATGTTTCTTATGTTATTTTTCTTAATGTTATGTTATGTATGTTTCTTATGTTATTTTTCATAATATTGATGAGCATAGATTAGCTAAAATATGAAGGATCTAGTAATATGCTTAAATTTTGAACATTCATGTATTAGTAGCAGTTGTCAAGATTATGTAGTATGAATTGGTGAAAGTTAGCTCAAACCAATTTCAGTCTGGTCTCCTGCATAAATCTTTGGTATAATATTTGTAGCAGTTATTTTGCCATGATTTTACTTTGTCCTTTAGAATAATGTATCATGTACTCATTACTATTAAAATAGTAAACCTATATAATTAGAAAATTTTTGCACATTTAATTTTTTTGTTAAAAATATGAATTTTTTTAAAATAGGTACTGTGAAAGAAAAATATAATATTTTTTGTTATTTTGCAGTTGGTGGTCATGATAGTAATGAAGATGCTGTATCTTGTATGGAGCTTATGGTTTGGAAAATAAAAGAAGAACTGAAAGGCAACAGATGATAATATGAAGCTCATTTAGATTACTTGTACTGAAATCTCAGGAAAAGTTTTTTTTCGAACATAATGCTAGCAATACTTACTTTCTGTTCATTGTGTGATGTAGTGAAATTTTTCTCATTTCTTTTCAGTGTATATCTTTTCTTTTAATCTGAATTATGTGTATCATACTTCTAGTATATATTCAATAAAGGAAAAGTTTGTTGATTTGTAATCTTTAGAATATGGCTTAAATTTTTGTTTAGTGTATATTATTGTTTAGTGCAAGATTTGGTTGGATATATATTTTATGATAGTTAAACTATTATTTGATGTAATTTTCTGTTTTAGAAATCTGTTAATTTTCATAAATCCAGCAGATTATGAACTTCATGTTTTCTTAAAGGAATATGTGAGAAGACCTGCTGTGAATAATAATATGATAAGTTTTTAAATTCTATAATTGGAATATAAGCATAATTAAAAATTGTACGTATTTAACTTTTTTTCTTTTAACAAAAATGAAGCATTTTATAAAACTTACAAAGATTTATTTTTTATTTTTTTTTTATTTTTATAATGAAATTATTCTGTACATCTCATTAAATGACTTCAAATTCTCCATACAAGTCGTACTTTTTTTTTTTTTTTTCCTCCTTTCTTTTTATTAGAAAATATTTTCAGAGCTTAGGTGTATATACCATGAAAACAGTTTGTGTGTTAGTTGAAGTACTAAAATGTGTTTCATATATTGTATGAGTGAATTAGTAGAATGAATGCATTCATAGGATTCTGTAAGATGGATTTACACATGCAGTAAAATGTTTTATTATTTTTATTTTGTTTTATGAATTTTCAGTTTTAATTTTTAATTGTTCTAGGAAGATTTGGACCACATGGCTTCCAGCATTATTTAAAAAAAGTATGGCTATGCATGAAAAGACATAAACACATGAAGTATTTAATAAATACATTTTCATAAGTGACAAAGTTTACTAGAAATTCCATGTGATACCTTATAATATATACATTAAGGTAAGGGCGTAGCTAAAGTTTCCAGCGCCCGGGGACAACTGAAGAATTTGCACCTTTTTCTGTGTGCCAAGAATGGAAAACATTTCATTAAAAAATTTTGTAGCATCAATTTGGCACCCCTTGGATGGTGCGCCTGGGGACAGATGTCTCTCCTTTCCCCACCCTAGCTATGCCACTGCATTAAGGGAAGAATACAGTGTAAAAATTACTTTTAACTCACTTCTTTAAGCAATCTCTTGTACTATATTTGAATTAATCCAACATTATACAGTGTTGGAAATTTGTAAATTATGAAAAATTTTGAATGCCTAAAAATGGTTAATGGGTATTTATCATTATTATTTATTTTGGAGCATCAAGATATTTGCATCAAAAAATTCATGTATATATTAAAAAACTCTTATATATGTTTGAAATTTCCAAACATTAAAATTATTAGCAGCTAAGTATTAGATCAAGTATTAGATCTTCTATGAAATGGCATAATTGCTGTAGAAAATGGGAAGTAAGTGTTAGTGAAAATGATTGATATCAAAAAATTATATTTTGTTAATTTTGAAGAATGTGAATAATATATGTTTGTTTGTGCCTTTCAACTAATATTGTCCTGAAAATAAGTTGCTGGCAAATTTAAGTGAAGTGCCACCGCACGTTTCTGCTGCTGTATTTAATGCCCATTGTTTAATCCTTATTATATATGTATAATAAAGCATTTCATTTGTAATATTGTGTAGTTATTTCTTTGTTGCTGAGTTAAAATATGCATGGTGCAGAGAATTATCTATTAAATGTTTTGCATGATATTACAAAATATGAAATTCTTTTGGTAAAGAGGTTTAAAAGACAATATTTCCCTTGCTTAAAAAGTGCTGGGATTTTAGACTTAAATACATATAGTCATGGTTTGTAATATCATATTTTCATATGTATTTTTTACTTCTTTATTTTCATGACACTGCTTTGGAAAATATTATACAGTATTTTCTTATGGAAAGTATAGGTCTAGGAAGGTGAAATCTGAAGGCAATGAAAAGATTATCAGATAAAATCATGAAAGCAAATAATGAAAGTTGAATGGATGTTGTGATGATTTTTGATGGCCTAATTTCAATTTGACAACTTCTTTATATACCAATTAAAAAAACCTTTCAAAGATTTTCATGCAAAATGTACCGCCCGATATGTGTTTTGTGACTTGCCATCAGGAAGTGGAATACAGTGGTTGAGTTTAAAAGTGATGTATAAAAGTATTATGGAAGTCAATTACACCAATACTAAATGAGAAAATTCTCAATAAAAGTCTTTTGATTTCCATTTCCATGAGTAGTTTTGATTGTGAGTTAATTTGACAAAAATTGTTAGGGCAATAATTTTCAGAATTAAATATGTTTGATACCTAAATCTGAAATGTGATTATTCTTCACTGCAGTTTAGAACTTGCAACTTGTTACAAGCTATTGATGATAATATTTAGGAGTTTGAAAGAAAACCATTATTCTTAAAAGATCTGTTGTAAGTCCATTTTGGGTTTAGATAGGAGATAAATATGGCAACATGCCTTCTTGAACCATTAATATATACCGAGTGGAAATATGGTCAAAAGATTTGATTAAGTGGTTAATTGATAATTATGCTAAGTCTGGTATCATTTAATTATGCAAGTCTGGTATCTTTTAATTATGCTAAGTCTGGTATCCTTTAATTATGCTAAATCTGGTATTCTTTCTTTTACAGATTTACATGCCGGCCTAATGAGATGTTGGGACTAACATGCCTTCACAAGGATCTCTTTCACTAACATTAAGGAATTAATAAGATATTTTTTTATTTACTTGAGATTTGAAAGGGCATGGAATTGCAGTGCAAAACAAGATTGAACTTGTGCATAAATGCAGACCGCAGGTCATTTGATGGCTTCTTTTTAGCATAAAGACATACTTTGAGAAGTTTGTACACATTGTTGCTGAAAATAGTACTTATTTAGCTTTGATAAGTGTAGCACTTAGTTTGATGTGTGTACTCCAGCCTGAACCATAGAAAAGTGCATTTTTATTTATTTGGCTTCTTTGCCGTAGCATTAAAATATTTAATATCTTAATATCAATTTTTAGGCATAAGCTGTTAATAATAAATTTGCATGTTCTGACAACAATGCTTCATTTTTGCCTACAGTTTAGCAATGTGTCTCATTCAGTATTTATTTCTAATTTTTTTAATTGCGAATGAGAGTTCTTCCTCCCCATAAATTATTGAAGGTAGTATAGCTTAACTCTTCTTTTCTGTAGGGAGGGGGAACCTCAGTTTAATATTTCAATAATGCAATTAGTTCAATGAATGAAGGGGAAAATGAAGAGCTTTCTTTTATATTTATTGTAGTAAGAAGGATTTTATATCATTAATTAAATAAACCAGTTTATTTATTATTGTCACTATTATTCAGCCTCTCATCTTTCCTTCCTTTTCTCAAAATGTAGACTTCTTGAATGAAAGTATAGGTTTTAAAATTTAGTAGGATACATCATACAAAATACTTGGTGAGAAAATATTTGTCCGAAGAAAAAATTCTTGGAACACTCATGTGTAAAACTTGCAAAGGTAGATTATTTGAGTATGACACAGTTCTCAGAGACTATCTGTCTAATAGGAGACATGCCTTTGTGCTTCACCTTTTTAATGAAATTGGCTTGTGTTCATATTACACATGGGAAAATCCAACCATGCAGCCAGGCTATTCACCTGGTTTGAATCATGGTCAAACTAAGAGTATTCAGTGATTTTAACCACTTGGCTACTGGTGGACCCTGGGAAATTACAGTAATTTTCTTTGATTGTTACAGAGCATTAGAATACTCTTTACTGAAGAAATAATCACTTATGGTGATGTATAGTTCATGGTATAATGTAAACGGAATTAAAACATCTTGTGACCATTTGGTGCAGTGTCACATTTTTAACAGAGAAATTTGTTTTTCTGCAGACCACAATTAAATCTCTGTCATGACAAAACTATTTTATTTACCACAGATTTATTATTCCCTAATCTCACTATTCTCTGTTATTGTGATGGTTCTTTGAAATCGTAATTTTTGTACAATTTGAGCTATTCAAAATGATGCATTTCTAATTAAATAAAATCTATCAATACTCCCAGGAATAAGAGGAGCAGTGGAGCAAATATATGCATTATGCTGAATATTGGTAATAATTAGTAATAAATTTTTACCCTTTTAAGTAGAACTTCCCAATGTATTTTCCACTTTTTAACATGGGAATATTTTTAGGTGGTGGAAAATTATGGATTATTATTTCATTAATTCTTTAAATGTTTGTTTGCTTACTTAATACTATATGTAGGGTTATAATATACATATTATTATGTTATTTGAATATGGCAGACCACAAGAGGGCTATCTGCCTAAAGGGGTGGTTGCCTTTGTGGAGAATATTTAAAGAAAACAGGTTCATATTCAACTACTCGTATGTATACAGAGAGTTGTTCCCATGGGTGGAATAATATATAATTTATTCTGGGGCATGCTTATTTGTATACAATCTGCACACAAGGGCCATCTGCCCACAAAAATGTAGGACTTATTAAGAGAAACTATCTCCTAAATGTCACACATGCTGGAAACCTCGAAAATTTCCATACAGTTAGCTCTCACGTGGATTGTATTCTTGGTGAATTTTCTTACATTTGAGCTTGCCATTATCCATTTGAATGACTAATCTTTTTATAATCTGTGTTGATTTAGCACTGTACATTTATTCTTACTTTTACTGAACCATCATGTGCTTGTTAATACTGACTGCAGTCTGTCTTGTGTTACACTGCAGTAGGTATTAAATAGCAAAGGATGGTCTAGTAAAACTGGCAATATTACAGCTATCACACTATAACAGTATAGTATTTACATATCAAAGTAATCGTCATTTGTAAGCTATATAATTTTTATTTTTTTTGGCAGCATTTGCTGAGATGCAAGAAAAACTGAGAAATGGTATAAGAAAAAGTGTATACAACTGAACATGCAACAAATATAACACAAAATGTGATGAGTACAGATAACCATAGATCGGTATTCATACCTGTAAAAGAAAAATATTTCATTCTTTTTCTATTTTATGTGTCTAATTTTAAAAATAATAAATAAATAAACTGTGTAGATGAAATTGAAGTACTAATATCACATTTTTAAATTCAGGCCATGCTATGAAACACTTATTTCTTTCTATATATATTGAATTATGTTACAGCAAAGTATGCAAGGCTGTTTCCCTATAGGAAGGCATGCTTTTGATAGAGTATATTTTTAAGGGAAAACTGTCTCGTATTCACATTTACGCATGGGAAAAACCATGAGAACTTCCATGCAGGCAGCCTATTCCTTGGGCTCTGAAGCTTGATCAAACAAGTTTTCAATAATTTTATTGCTTGATTGCTGGTGGGCCTTTGTATATCGAATCTGGTTTAATTAAGATTAATTTAAATAGTTAACATGATTGAAAGTTGTGAATTTTTTTTAATTGGTAGTGGTTTTATTAAAGTTTTTCCATCATTAAGTAATGAAGTCAATTTTTTATTTGTTTGAAACCATGATGATTTTATTCAAAACAGAATTTTAGTAACTTTATTCTGATGATTAAAATTACCCATTCTAATCAAGATTTTAATTTATTTTAAAAAAGTAAATGATTGTAATAAAAAATGTGTTTATAACAAATTTCACATTGTTAATTTGGAAACCTGTAGAAAGTTTCAGGAAATATTTATGGACTCTAATATATATCTCTATCATATCTTTTTCCTCAGCTAAAAATGGAAATGTTATGAAAAAAATGGAAATTTTATTTATGAAATTTGGCATTTCATAAAACTTGTCATCCGCTTACTCCTTGCCTAGGTTATAATCTATCAAGTACAGTGTTAAAAAGATATTTTTTTCATGAAGTATCGATCTAAAAGGAAATAAACACTCCAAAGAAAATATCGATGGGGAGGGGGGAGGTAATGAATAACATTGTCATCCCCTAATGAAACTGAAAATTAAGCGAAATTCACTCTTCATACTCTCGCCGGGACTAGAACTCCAAACCTTCTGAATGGCCAACCGAACATACTACTACGAAGGGACGCCATGCGGAACACAAAATTCTTTTACATTCTTTCCCACAAAAGGGTTGAAAGATCCAATCGCTCAATTCTTGTGGTGACGAATTATTGTCAGACACATTTCAGGCAATTTTCTAAAGAGTTATTATATTTTTTGGAGCAAGAAACATGAGAAAATTAGCTATGCTTTTGCCAGGATTCAATCTTCTGGCTTGACTGTCACCCGGATATGCTACACACGAAAGCACGCTGTAGGGAAGGCGAAAATTTCGTACAGAACATCTAATTGCTATTTATCATAACGATCAGAACTGCATGGTCCCTTTAAGAATAATATTTCTTTAATGTTGACCATTACATGATTTGAATCTGCTTTTAATTTTAGGAACTTAACTATTTTTAATATTTTAATTAAGACGATATGAACTACAATATATTTTCTTCATTACTGCGGCCGAGCGGTAAAGTCGCTGAACACTGGTAGTTCAGTCCGAGGTTCGAATCCCGCGAACGGGCTGGCTTCATGGGCGTTTTCGTGGTTTTCCCCATGTGTAACGTGTATACGAGCCAGTTTCCCTTAGAAAGTCCTCCACGAAGGCATCCCTGCCCTTAGGCAGATAGCCCTCGATGCTTTGCCATAATCACACGCACACACTTCATTACTGCGCGTATAATATTTGTAAATGAAAATTCTGTGCTTAATATTGTAAATAAAGAAAAATAAACTGTACATTTCTTGTATGTTAATACGTGGATCATAACATTAGTTTCCCCTTTTCCCAGAATTTCTATATATTGTTGCGTGCGTATGGGTTCCTTATCAATAGCAACAACATAGTAGTATTAGCAATAGTAACAACACAAATCAAAGTGCATCTACAGTCATGTGCAAAGACCACTAGCCATTTTCCTGTTATTTTAACAAATTCACCATTTTTGCTCGTGATTGCGTTATCTTATATGTAAGAACAAATTGATTGAACAAAAGCGTTGATTGCATAAGATGCTTTGTACTGCTATAAATATAATGTGGTCTTGTTTATCAGTAGTTCGCTATTAGCTTTTGCATACACAGTGCTGTTGTATAATTCTTGTAATGGGTAAAAAAAAACTTCACTTATTCACTTACTGTTGAAAAACGGGCAAAAATAGATAAACGGGCAAGATAGATGATGAATAGATGCACCTTGCATGAAGTTGGCTTTTCTGAACGTGAAATAAGTTTGAAGATAAATATCAGTAAGACAGGCACGCACCAATCTATCAGTAAATTCAAAATTTTGAAAAATTATACGGATCTTTAAAAAAAGCGGTCGTCCAAGGAAAACTTTTGTACGGGATGATCGTGTGATAAGAAGGATGATCACTCCATGTTCAACAACCTCCTGCAATAAAATTAAAGCTGCTCTGCCTTCAAAGGGTACTAGTTCAAGACGTTTGACTAAAGATTATAATTTATTTACCTATGATTCTGCAAGGAAACCTCGACTGACTCGAAGGATGGACTGTCTTTTGTCAGACAATATCATAATTAAACCAAACAACAGTGGAGTACAGTGTTATTTTCGATGAGTCAAGTGTGCAGCAATTTTCGGTACTCTTCTGTTTTGAGGGCCATAAAAAATTTGCAGCGAAAATGTATGTGCAAAAGTGTCAAATCTAGCAAACGCGCCCATTTAACAGTGTGCCAAATCTAGTGTACGCGTTAGTTTCAGATTGCATAAGTTTATATAGTTCTATATTTCTTAAGACGCCATTGAAATGCTAGTTTAATTTTTAAATTCTTTTTTGATATCCTATGGATTTAACAATTTGGGAATTGCCCATGAGGAAAAGTCAGCAATAGAATTTTGGGTAAAGTGCAGAATCACTCACTGCTTGACGCGTTTTTAAGAATTGCACATACTCGGTATCCATGTGCACATTGACCTATTTTCACTTAAAAAAAATCCCAGAATTGCACAAAAATGGCACTGCGCACCCCCTTGACTTTATTTATGTACACATCGATTCTATTTTTATTCAAAAAGTAAAATAAAATTGACAATAAGTATTTACAGAGAAGATGATAGTTCATGCATAGTGCAACAAATTTTGAAGAGACTGATTGCCTGTATGATGCAAACTGTTTTGCTATATTATTTGATATAGGCTAGCCAAAATGTTCCTATTAAAAATTTTATGCTCATTTTTCTCAAATAAGTATGTTTTTAATATGTTTGTGTACTTTTTTCATGCATTTTAATAATACAAGTGAAACTGAAAAAAATTAATAAATATCAGATTTTATATGTATGTTATATGTGGCGCTCAACACACTTTTGTTCTGCAGTGTTGCCTCTGCGATAATTTTATGGAACACTGCATTTCTGAATATTAAAAAAAAAATGGATATCAATTGTATAGGCTGCATCTTTTATGAAAGACAAATTAAATGCAGATTCTGCCAAACTGGTGAATAATAGGTAGCAGTGCCAGGAATGTGTTTTTTTTTTTTACATATATCAAGCATTCAAACTTTCTGTGTTTTCAGCATTCATCTTCACCACCTGTATTTGTGTCACTAAACTTGATTTAGTATTAAACTATTATTTTAATTCTAAGGTATGCATAGATGGAATTTGTTTCATTAGTTAAAAAGATTATTAGTAAGTAAGATGCTTGCTTGCAATGGTATATTGCTAAAGATATATAAGCATGCAGGAAAAGAATTGTTTTAAAGGACATAAATTATATCTTAATAGACAAATCAACAAACCAATCAATAATATAATTTGCTATTTCAGAATTTTCAGCAACAATTTTCTTTTTCTTTCTTTTTTTTTTTTTTAATTTTTTCAAAGCCACAAAACAGAAAATAAATCCATGACTGTTTCAAAATTTAAATAATGAAAGTGTAGAGAACAAAATATATTAATATTGAATATTTATAAGAACTGTCGAAATAAACTATCACTAACAGCAACACATGCATCTCAACCACAATGAGGTAATTGGCATATACTTCTACAGCAATGATGCTAATTTGGTGCCAAGGTCAGACTAGGGTTTCAAAAATTTATAGTTAACTATCACAAATTCTGCAAAAACGTGCCTTGTGGTATAATAAAAAATTTCTTTAAATTTTGTATATGCCAAACAGGTATTATATCTCATTTTGTGATCGGCTAGCCTATATCAAATAATATAGCAAAACAGTTTGCATCATACAGGCAATCAGTCTCTTCAAAATTTGTTGCACTATGCATGAACTATCTTCTCTGTAAATACTTCTGCTTGATAGTTCATAATTTAGAGTAAACTTGGAAAGATTTGTTATGTACTGCTAAGAAACTTTTGCTTATTTAATATTACTATTACATTAGTGTTTATAGAGAATAAACACTGAAGGGAAATATGATACCTCATGTTTTAAAGAAATTATTCTGTACTTTGCTATTAACGCAATTCGTACAGTCTATAAACAAGTTATTCTTTTTTCTAAAATTACAATTTTGAGTTTTTAAATTATTGAATATAGTTCTGTTTGGATCATAATTATACTTACAAATTAACACTGCATTATTTATATTATAACAAAGGACTGAATAGTTATTTGGCTAAGAGGAAGAATGCCTTTGTGGAATACTTTTTATAAGAAAAGTTCCTCGCTTCCATGTTACACATGAAAAAAACCACAAAAACTCTCATACAGTCAATCCATTTGCTGGGATTTGAAACTGGGTTGAACTAACAGCACTCCTCAGTTTTATCAATTGCCTAGTGTGAGCCATTTCTGTCGCAGGAAAATATTGTTAATACACATTAAATATGGATCTCACCAGTCGTTGGGAAGTTATGACCCCTGAACACACTGATAGTTCAACCCAGGTTTGAACACACTGAAATGGGCTAGCTGCATGGTTGTTTTTCTCCATGTGTAACATGAATATAAGCTAGTTTCCCTTAAGAAGTTCTCCACAAAGGTTTCCCTGTC